TTAGGTGCTGCAAGGAAGGTGACTGTTTCCGCTATCTTAAAAGCTTAGAACAAGTAAACTTGATTTCTGTGTGCAGCTGCAGAAACAGAAAGGTCTTCCATGGAAATTTTGTCTATCTTTTACCTACTGATGCGGCTGCTGCTTTCCCAAACAGAAGGGAGCTCCTATCTCCTTTTACTCTGCTGAAACAAGAATTTCCAGAACCTTGGAGGATACCTCCTAGGGCAGAAACGCCAGACCTCTCACCAGCCCCAGCCTGTCCTGGAAGTTATCTGATTTGTCAGTATCTCTCTTCAAATGTATTGGGAAAAAAAAAAATGGACACAATCCACAGGTGTGGTTGATTAAAACAAGGCATTATTAATTTTTGTGATATGTGGACACTATACTCTTAGCAGAACCTCTTTTTTTTTTTAGTCATGTTATGCCGCTGGTTCATATTAACATTTTTCCTAAAGAATTGTCGCCATATAAGCTTGCTCCTTTTTTTCACACCAGTGAATTATGATGCATTTACTGTATGAAGTTTTTTCTTTTTCTTTTCTTTGCTTTCAGCATAGCACTGTATCCTATTTAGTGTTTAGCTCTAAATTCTGTTATCTATTTGTAACAGTTATGCTTTGCTCAGCCAGTCATGAATTTTAAAGCCAGCCTCTAGACCTGCAAAATCACTCCCGCAAATGATGAAGAGACTACCCAGGGCAAAGGTGTGCGACCCTGCCTGGGTTACTTCCTCACTCAAACCCAGCACCACACGCTGCCTGGTCCCGGCTCCAGCCTGCTCTCACTCGTGTGGCAATGCTGCTGGTTGCATTTCCTGCCATCTCGCACCCAAGAGCAAGCAGCCCGCAGCCCTGAGCACTGCTCAGGGAAAGCAATACTCACTTATCTTTCAAAAGAAAGCATGAAAGAGCTGTACACATTAAAATCACAGTAATATTAAAATATGCATATGTACGGAGGAAAGCCCTGAAGAGGAGAATCACTGGATATGTTTGTTCTAGTGGCAGGCTGTGGACATGTGTCGGGGAAAGGTGGTGTTTCTGTTTTAATTCAATACTGTCTTTAATACAGTCACACTATTTAAAAAATAAAACACTGGGAATTATGTAGAGAAAACTGAGCTGAAAAGCAATCCATGTGAAACAGCTTTAAAAGCTCTGAGACTATCTGTTGCTACCAATCTGAAAACTCCTTTAAGTCGAAAAACAGTCATTTGAAACGACTTGTTGATACCTAGCAGCACTGGACTCTGTTTTTCTTTAAATTATGCACCGCTGGTTTAGACTTAATATTTCTAGAAATGGGGAGACAGAAGATTGGAGAGCTAGATGCTAAGGTTTAGACAATGTCTGGATTGTGTACACATCTGTCTGTCTGTCTCTGAGGCAAATGTTAGAATGGTATGGATAGCAAAAGAGTCTGCAAGCTGATGGATCTGCGGAAGTTTGGGCTGAGAGAGGGCGAAGCGTGAAGTCTCCTTGCAGCCCAAGGACCACTGACGGCATAAGCTCCTACCATCTGCTCACCTATGGTCTTTTTCACGCTAGGAGTAGAAATTAGATGAATGGTTAGCGTATGCATCTAGGGGTTGAGATCAGAAATATGGGAAGGTAAGGATTTTCTTTGTTTTTTTAAAGAGTAGGTAACATAAGTGTGGAAAACTAGTAGAAAAGCAAGGCAAAGTGGTTATTTATTCTGGAGATGATGTAAACTGCAAATACCACATTTCTCAAAATCTTAAACAAGTGAAAATTTTACTTTGTTTAGAAATATAGTTTTCCCATCACACTAGCTAAACACATGAGGTATAACAGCTGTTAGATTTGTGGGAAAGTGCTAGGAAAATGGATAAAATGAGCTATATAAAGTCCAGTTATTATCTGACAATTGAAAATAACTTTTTTTAGAAAAAAAATTGCCTACTACCCTAGAAATTAAGTCAAATCTAGGTAATAAATCAGCAAGTTCACAGATCCATAGCACACTGCCATCAGAAAATGTATAAAATATCCAAAAAGAAAGTCTGGTTATTATGACACATGAAAATGCTAATTTGTTTTAAAATACAAAGGTTCCCACTCCCCTGTAACTGAACCTAAACACATGAGATAAATCAATAATGTCATAGATATGTGGCAAATGGCTATCAGACAGGTAAAATATCTAAACAGAAAACCTAGTTATTATTTGACAAACCTATTTTGTTTTGAAATATAATTTTTCCATCATGGTAGCACTTAAAAATACTGGTGATAAAAGCAACAGCTTGATAGACCCAAAGCAAACTCTTACAAAAATGGATAAAATGTCCAAATGCAAAGCTCAGCTACTATTTAAAAAGTAAATAACATAACTCACTTTTTTTTTTTTTTTTGCTTTGCATTTAACCTTGTTTAAAATAGATTACGACAGTCAACATCGGGAAGCAAAATCAGAGAAAATCCACAATTCACTTAGATATTAAATGGCAAAACAGTGTTGAAAGCTTTTTAATACATCCATATATATTGGGGTTTTCATTTGTTTTTAAAGGGCTTTTTGTTGGTATAATATCTAAAGTATTAATGTTAACTTATTTTTAATACCATTTTGTTGTTTTAGATAGTAAGAAAGTTGTACTCAAATTGCCTATTGATGCTGCTTGTTCCCTTTGAAAATTATGTTTCTATCCAAAATGAAAATTTCTAGAAGACATTTGTGTAACAATGAAATATACCAAAATGATAACTCTGTACATTACAATAATGAGATCAGAGACAATTCTATTCTGTTTTCTGGATTTAAATATATGTACTAAGGTTGTTTATCAGAAAATTTTATTAGAAAAATCAAATTAATGGTATATCCTTTAAAGAAAAGTCTGCAAATGTAATATCACTATATTTTAAAGTTATATAGGAAGCAATTCAGGAAAATTAATTTGATCCTGTTTTTACTTTTTAGAAAGTATACCCCTGACTTTACAAAAATATAAATTCTTTAGATACCTATGTAAGGATAAAGTCTGCAAAAGCAGACTACATAATATTTACTAGCATAACTGCAGGGTAGATAGATAGATTACAGGTGCTCTGGATTTTCTTGACATTTTTCTCCCTCTTAATTTTGGACAGTGGTAAGGAACTGCTTTTACAGCGATACAAATACTAATCATGCCTTCTTTCTTTTTTTTTTTTTTTTTTAACCCAGAAAATCCTGGGTAACATTTTGAAATGAAAAGAAATCAAGTCAAGCTTCAAAAGTCTTCGCTAGATTTTTTAAAACTTGAATTTTCCTTACATTTCATCTATAGTAGTTTTCCATCTCACTGTTTTTAGAAAAAAAGTTAAATCCGTTAACAACTACTTAAAGTAACTGTGCATTAAAAAATGCAACTGCTAAGTATTTAAGTCAGGCAGTCACCAGAACTGAACTCTACCAAATAAATGAAATCTTGGGATTATTATATCCTGCAAAGGCGGGTAAACAGTCACAGATTACATTGAGACACTTTATAAAAGTATATTATGTTCAGCCAACTTCCTAGAAAAATGTCTTTCATTGTTGGAAATATACATGTCACTCCTATTTCTGACGGTCAAGATTTTATTTCTAAATAAATGTAAGGTCTCAGCACATGGGCTTATTTTGTTCATTCCTAGAAACGTTCGCTTTTCGAACGCGATCTTTTCCACTCTGTCATGTACAATGGGCCAAATTCTTATTTATCCGCTAAGCATAAAATAAGCTGTAGCAACATTTGTGAAGTTTATCCAGCTTTAGTCTTCAAAGACGGATACGTTTCATCTGTCTCAGAAATCTAACTCAGTTGTAGACAATTTCATTTTCCTTTTAATTCAAACTTCTTTCCTTAAGATTAGCAACAGATTGTTAGTATTCTTAGCGCCTAGCACTTTGAGGGAATTACAAGGGAATCCGTGTTAAGATTTTATTTAGAATTCTTCCTCACCAGTGTTTCTGGGCTTTATACCTAACCGCAATTTTCCCTGACGTTAAAAAAAAAAAATACATATATATATATATATATATATATATATATATGTAGAAATTCTCGCAAATATTGGAGGCAAAACCTCGCCAACCCGCTTCGAAGGATTTGTGCATTTGCAACGACTAAAATGCATTGATCCATCCTATACGATTTAGCAAAATGTAATGTTGCTGGGAGCGCGAGGTCTCTGCGCAGATCTCTTAATCACCACCAAAAACCCGTCGCTGGGAGCCTTTGGAGCCCGCCAAACATGTTGCAAGCATCCCCAGCTGTTTTCCATTGATTTTGCTTTCTCAAAATAACACCGTTGGTGGGGCCATCGGTGCCGTCCGAAGCGTCTCGGGCCTCAGCCGGGGCTGACCCTGACCTGCGCGCCCTCCCTGCTCGGCTCCCAGCGTCTCAGGGCTCCGCGTCTCCGATCGGCAAAACCAGGAAAACAGCATTTCCGCCGCGGAGCAATGCGCTTAAGAAGAGGGAAGAATCAGGTCTTTTTAATGTCACATTTTTGTCTCTTGCCTCGATCAGATTCAAGAAAGAGAGAAAAAAATGTGTTTGTGTAGACAAGGACGCTGACTGACACCCGTTTTCCCTCGGCCAGTATCTAGGCCCAGCAGCCTCAAGCGCGGGGTAAATGCGCCCCACCCCGCGCAGAAGAATGGGGGCTCGCCCCCCGGGTTGTGGCTGCCGGGGTCGAGAGAAATCCACTACAGGGGGCTGGGCTGGGGAAGGGGTGCCGGCAAAAGGAACCGAAGATGAAATTGTTTGCGCCCGCTAAACAGGGAGGGGCCCGCGGGGGCGCAGAGAAAAGAAAAGGCCAGGGGTCAAGCCTGGGGAGGGCTCCGTGGAGCTGGGAAGTGGGGTGCTGGTATCCTGGGGGAGGGGTGCAATGGAGCACCAAGAGGGGCTAGCGCCCAAAGGGCGCGCCCCGGTACCCGAAGCCAGGAGGGGGAGGGGAGGCGGTGGCCTGGTGGCCCCGGGACCTCCACGTCGCGCGCAGGCCACTAACCTGTCAGTAAGAATGTGCCAGTGGTCGCGGGGCTCATCCTTCGTGTCCCCCGACCCTGCCTTGTCCAAGCACAGGGGTCTCCCAGCTCCCACCACCGGGGCAATTGCATTCTTGGCCTTGTTAGGCCGGCTGTCCTGGATTTTCCCCTCCCCTCCTTTTCTTCTTTCCTCCCAGCTTGGCCAGTTCAACATCAGCATCCAGCAACCTCACCCCCCTCGTTGATCCCTTGCTCCCCCTAGCGGCGGGCCAGTGCAGCGTGGCCACCGCCCCCCCACCCCATCCCCCTATTCCGCCCCCGCACCCCCCTCCGCCCCCTTAGCCCGCAGAGCACGCTGGGATTTGGCGCCCCCCTCCTCTGTTCAGCCTATATAAGGCTCGCAGTCGGCGCTCCTGGTACACGCGCTTCAACTTCGGTTGGTGTGTGTCGAAGGAACCTGACGGCGACCAGCGGAGAGATCCACCGAGCTTCGCGGAACATCCACTGAGCGGCTCGCGCCCGCTCGCTCCGAGCGGCGGCGGAGCGCTCGTGGGTCCCACGCCCGGCCAGGTGTGGGATCCGGTCCTGCCTGCCTTCGCAGAGGAGTCCACGTGTGGTGAGTATGCGGTGAGAACGTTTTTTACTTTTAAGATCACATTCATTACCCATTTTTATCGGAAGCTGCGGGAGATCGACTAGCGCCCGGGGACGTCTCCTCGCAAATCTTTTCACGCCTTCACTGGCTGAACCCCAAAACTGGGGAAACCAAGTCTTCAAGGCTTTGGTCTCCAGGACGGAAGTCCAGAGGTAGGCTGTAGACGGCTATGAGCTGCGGACAGTCATGAGCTGCAGACGCACTTGAGTTACACACTAGTTTGTTCTTCAAATGCGCTCTCAAGCGACATGTTACAAACTAGTTGGCGTTTCCATGCGCTACAAACTGATGAGCGCTTTAGCTGCGCTACAAACGGAGGCTCCGTGCCCGATAAACTGATGCGCGCTTCGAGCGCTGCAAACTGATGGGCGCTTCACGCGCTGCATACTGATGCGCGCCTTACGCGCTGTGAACTGAGGGGCGCTTCTTTGCGCCACGGGCTGGCGCTTCATGCGCTACGAACCTGTAGGAACTGCAGCGGCCGACGAGCTGCACACGAAGACCGACTTGTGCCTTGAGCTCGCTACAAATTCTGGGCTGTAGATCAGCACTGCGAAGGTACTACCAAAATGGTTCGATTCCTCCCAGAACGGCACTCGATGCGCTGTACGGCACATGCACTGCAGAGGTACATGAGCTGCAGACCAATTTATAACTCAGATGCGCTGTGAAGCGGGCATTGCCGCAGAGGTAGAGGAGTTGCGAAGTGTTTCCGCGCTACAGATCGGCGCTAGAGGGACGGGAGGTGTAGAATACAATGACCCCTGATGCGCGTAGGGGGGGGAACCCCACCCTTTCACCTTTTGGAATCGCGCCGGTTCTGTGAGCGGGATCTTTGCATGATGGTGCTCTTTGACAAAATGGAGCCCCGGGCAAAAATTAGTGCTTAACATTCTGCCCACACCATTCCGGCTACAGCAGTGGAGTGGAGGGGTGCTGACTTTTGGTGAAGGCAGGCAGATCGGGCTGCCTGCCTAGTTGTACTTGATTGAGGCGGCGGTGTAGTTGTCTTGGCGCGAATTGGCGGCCAGCAACAGTTTGTGGAAATTGTCGGTTTGCTGAGTGTGGGGGGTGGATGATCTCGGGGGTGATTGCTCTTGCTGCATGAAATGAATCTGGATTTCGGAGGTTGGTGGGAGGGGTTTGGGGAGGGGGACCCTGGGAGAGGCGAGCAGTCTTTGCAGCCTTGTAGCAGCCATCTCAGACCTGCCCCGCCCACCCGAGCCAGCGCGCCTGCTCCGCAGTAACTCGCCGCCCGCGCCCCCTGCCCAGCGCCCCCCCTCCTTCGCTCGCAGCGCCTCCTTGGAGCGCGCCTCCCCGAGCGCGCCTCCCCGAGCGCGCCTCCCCGAGCGCGCCTCCTCGGCAGCGCGCCTCCACGGTAGCGCGCCTCCCCGGTGCGCCTCCCCTACCCTCGCCCCAAGCCCAGCCTCCTCTGAGGCTGCTGGCCCACCCCTCGACTCTGAGTCCGCCTCCTTTGACGTGCCTGCCCAGGCCCCACCTCCAAAGCGTGGCCCCGCCCTGAGCCCGCCTCGGAGCGGGCTGTAGCCCCCCGCCCGCACGCGCCTGCGCACTGTGCGCCTGCAGCCCCGCCTCCCCAGCCCCTGCGGCTGAGCCTGGCTGGGCAGCCCCGCCTCTCTGCTGTTTCTTTGCTGCGCGGTTTTTGCTGTTTGTCCACTAGTGTCTAATTAAGGATAGTAAATGAGAACAATTAACAGCAATGATAATTATAATTGGCATTCATAAGTACTTTTAATAAGTGCTTTACTATCTCAACACTCACATTTGAAATTCCCACTTGTGGATTATTATGGGAATTTCTAATCAGACATAGTTTAGACCTTAAAGCAATTTAATCCAATGCTTTTATTATAATCAATAAAATTATAAATAACAAGTAATTATATATACAATTATTTATAATTATAAGTAATCAATAAAATTATAAATAATAAAATCTTTCAGCTTTTTGGGGAGACACTAGTGGACCTACTGGAATCAGATGTTTTGGGGGCCATAACAAGGCACTGTATGAACTGTGTTGCTAGGATTTAGGTGATGGACTGGGACTTCTGGCTTGGCCAGTGAGCGAGGATGAGGCATCCGTGTGCTCACGAAGCCAGGTTTTCTTCTTGGCAACTCTAGGGATTAGCCCTGGCTGGCCTGGCTGCTTGCAATAAAATTTGTGTGGCACACAGTAGGTGTTCATTAACTGTGACAAATGAATAGTCCACTGGCTTATTTGTTATCTCACTTGGTGTCTGCAGGTCTTTTCTATTTTCTTGTTCCTGTTTCCTATGGTGCTTTGATGTCCTGGATTGTGTTGCTGCCTTATCTCGCTCACCTCTAAAAGTTTCTGTTAAAGAAAAGTACGTATTTTTGAATTCCAATACTGTAAGCTGTAATTATAAAACCAATATTAATTTAAATTATTCTAAATAATTAGCTTTTTTCATAAAAAGCTACTTATTTGAATATTCCAAGTAATTAAGTTATTCAAATAATTAGCTTTTTTCATAAGAAGCTAATTATTTGTTATTCCAAATAATTAGCTTTTTTCATAAAAAGCTAATTATTTGTTGTTCCAAGTAATTAGCTTTTTTCATAAAAAGCTAATTATTCAAATCTTGGGCACTTGTTATTAGTGGTACACATTGGCATTTAAAATTTGTGTGATGTAACAATGTGGTTACATTACAAAATACAGATTATTTTAGATGGCGTAATTAAATATCTGTATAATTAAGAAATACCTGGTTCCAAATACTAAAAAGCATGAGCCAGAATTTTGTAATGGGGAGAATTGGGGGTTTTGGCTCTGTTAATTGTCCCCTCCAAAATATATAATTTATGGGAAATAATGTACTTATAATTACAGCTTTAATTAAGTCTGCTTCCTCTTTGGGAATTTTGTATTTGCATATTAAAGAGGCTCAAAATATTGGTAAACTGCTTTTCAATAGAATTTGCATTTTCATAATACCCAAAACTTTGGACATTTGAAAATTTCGAACAACTAATTGTTGCTTAATGAGATGTTTATATATGATGGGGTTTTTGTTGTTGTTATTGTTGTTGTTGGAAACTGTTGCTCTTTGGTGTGTTTAGGAAGTATTAATCGATTTACTTAATTACTAAGTAGACTGAAACGGAAATGATTGCCATATATAAAGGTGACATCTGTCCCAGCTAGTTTGGCTTTATGCAGTGTGACCCTTTGCGTTTTCAAGACTGGGACCTCTTGACCCCGCCTTCCTGATGCAGCCCATATAAGGGAGAATTTAAGGAACCAGAGTTTTATAAATGAAATTAAGTCCCCATGCTCTTCAGATCACATTAACCCCCGCTGCTCCTGCAGCTATTTCGTATTTACACTCAGGGTTGACCCCACCCTAATACCTGGAAGATCTGAGATATGATATTGGTGAAGGTCACAGGTCTTAAACTCGTGACTTGGAAGGCCATATATGGCCTTGAATTCATTTAAGCAGCCCTGTCTGGAAAAAACAAACAACGAAAAAACCCCACCTAAATGTTTTGGGAGTGGGGTGGGAGGGGCATACACCCCCAAGTTACACACTTCACCCCCTCCATGTCTTAACTTCAGCCTCTTGTCACTTTTGAATTACCTCCCTGTATAATAAAGGTAATCTTATTGATCTTTTGTTTCCCTGACAACATATTGATTGCTTGCTAATGTCTTAATGTGATTTCTGCCCAGTCATTTTCTACAGATGTTGATAAAGTCCACCCAGGGGCTGTGATTGACGTGGAAAGGGTTCACCTTCCTCCCCCAGGTCACACTGCACCAAGCTAGGCTGGGAATCAGATGAAGAACTCCTGTCACTGTTCTGAAAATTGTTAATGTCTGAATGACAGAAGTGACACATTGGTTACCTGAATTATGCTTATTCTTTAATGGGGCATTAAAATGCTTCACTTAATACATAAAATTTACATTATGTTGTAACTCTGTATTGCCAGAGGTCTTGAACTGGTGACCTGGAAGGCCATGTAAGGCCTTGAACTAATGATCTTTAAAGGTAGCATCTTTAAAGAGCTGGAGATGATACTGAATGTCACAGAGTGTGATGTGTTTTTTGTCTTCTGATTTGTTTTAGGGTTAGATATTTTATCTTGAATGTTATTTATTGTTTTCATATCAGAAATTACTAAAACAATTATGTAGCAGGGTTAAAATTATTAAAATGGCACACATAATACCTGTCCTTTAGGGACCTGGCTTGATTGGGCCCACATCAACTTGGGTGCTGAGCTAGGCCAGGGCGGGGCTGAGGGGCAGGCGGGGTGAGACAAGGGCAGTCATCATGTTTGATTGACACTTGGTTTTTTAATATCCATTGAAACTTTAACTTTAATATAATAATGTTTTTAATTGTTTATGTATTTAAATTTTCCAGATTTAGGATTTGAGATCACTGAAAACTTTTAAATGATGACATCATTCTAAATGCACTTAATCCTATAAACACATGCAGATGTTTTCTTATGATTACTTATATTAATATAAATATTTTAATTATAAAGTCAGTGTTTACATTATGATTTGTTGTCATCTCTCATTACTGGATCACTGGCTTTCCCCTACCTGCCCCACCTCCACACGTGTCAGTGGGTACAGCCTTCCCCTGCCCTCCCCTGTGGGTGGGTGCAGCCCTCCCCTACCTATTACTTTAAACCTTTAGGTGGGGCTCTGCTGACAGATCTTGATTAAAAACAAGAGATTGCAAAGTGCTGACCTACTATTTTTTTAAAAAAATTATTTTAAAATTAATTTTTTTAGATAGGAGATGGATGCCCTGGTTGCTCTAGTTACGCCCCCCTCCCCTTTACACCAATAGTTGTCTTTCTGTTTTCTGATTGATGACTTTATTAATATCAGCTAACAGGTATTGGATAGCTACTTGCAATTTTATTTGTATTGTTTAATGAAGTCAGAATAAAGGTGAGGTAAACTATTATTAGGCGTGTTGTGGGGGAAAGTCCTGTTGTATAGGACAGCTCTTGTGGCAGGGCCTGCCTAATGAGGGTCAGACTGACACACATGTGGCTGTCCAGTGCCATTTCTGCCCCATAGAAAATTATCTTAGGAAAGTTAAAATATGGCCAGAATAGTAATTAATAATTTCAGCAATTACAAAAAAGTAATTAGAGCTAGTCTTGCGATTTTTGTGGCAGTGGTGGTGTTGGAGTAGGTCAGTAGTCACCATTCTGTTGTGGTAGGTGTGAGTTGTGACAGGTGGCCAGGGTGCAGTTCAGGACTGATGAACAGAGGCATTGTGCTTGCAATAGCCCCCTCTTTTTGTGGTATGTTATTGGTTGGAATATTACCAATTTTTTTGCTTAGCTTCTCTAATAGTGAAGGTTACCATTTTGATGTTGCTTTGCCTAATTTGGTCTCCATCTTGTGCTGGAAGTTTCTTGCTGTGTGCTTGTGATACAGACCTTGTTTGCCATGTCTCAGCATTATTTTATACTTTGCAGAGGTGAACATGCTGATGACAAAGTTCATATGTTGTTGAATTATGATTGACAGGTGACTTTTGAAGAAGACTAGATCACTTGGACAACCCAGACTGATGTGCTTTGTTGTCGGCTCTCCTGATTGATAACTTCTTCTTTTGTTTTGAGGGTGTTGGCTAATTATTGTTTACTAGTCATTAATGTGTTCTTTGTTAATATGAGCCGGTAGAGCAGGAGGTTATTTTAAATGCCACATGTTCTTTGCATTGTGCTGCTTTGAATGCATATGTTAAACATGTACTCTTATGTTCCTTTACAGAAACAAGCGGGTTTTCAAAACAAAGAGGAGGAGGGGTGGAAGAGAGGGCCCGGATCCAGGCCTCCAGCCCCAGAGGAGTGAAGCCACACCATCACCTGGGAGGGTACCTCCCACCCCGGCAGTTACCATGGGTCTTGGCGACTGCCCCCCACCTCCGCCTCCCCCTCCCCCCAACAACAACAACAACAACTCCAAACCCAGCGGCCACAAGAGCCCCTGTGTGCCCAACCTTACCGAACGCAGACGAGATGAGCTTTCTGAAGAGATCAACAACTTGAGAGAGAAGGTTATCCGGCAGTCTGAGGAGAACAGCAACCTGCAGAACCAGGTACAGAAGCTCACAGAGGAGAACAGCACTCTCCGTGAGCAGGTTGAGCCGACCCCTGAGAATGATGTAGAAGATGACCTTGAGCTGCAGGGCGCTGCAGCAGCCGTTGTCCCATCCACCTCAACCGTGGAAGACTGCCCAGAAGACCTTCCCGAGAGGTTTGATGGCAACCCAGACATGCTGGCTCCTTTCATGTCCCAGTGCCAGATCTTCATGGAGAGGAGCACCAGAGATTTCTCACTTGACCGTGTCCGTGTCTGCTTCGTGACAAGCATGATGACCGGCCGTGCTGCCCGCTGGGCCTCCGCCAAGCTGGAGCGATCCAATTACCTGATGCACAACTACCCAGCCTTCATGATGGAATTGAAGCATGTCTTTGAAGACCCCCAGAGACGGGAGGCCGCCAAACGCAAGATCAGACGTCTGCGCCAGGGCATGGGCTCTGTCATCGACTATTCCAATGCATTCCAGATGATTGCCCAGGACCTGGATTGGAATGAGCCGGCGCTGATTGACCAGTACCATGAGGGCCTCAGTGACCACATCCAGGAGGAGCTGTCCCACCTCGAGGTGCCCAAGTCTCTGTCCGCCCTGATCGGTCAGTGCATTCATATTGAGAGGAGGCTGGCCAGGGCTGCTGCCGCCGCCGCCTCCGCAGCTGCCTCTGCAGCCGCCTCTGCCGCTGGTGCCACGGCCACAGCCACGGCCACCATCACTGCCACTGCCACCATCACTGCCACTGCCACCGCCACTGCCACCGCTGTGGCTGCTGCACCAAAGCCACGCTCCCCGCCTCGGGCACTGGTGCTTGCTCACCACCACCACCAGGTCGACCCCACTGAGCCTGTGGGGGGCGCCCGCATGCGCCTCACCCAAGAAGAGAAGGAGAGACGCCGCAAGCTGAACCTCTGCCTCTACTGCGGGAATGGAGGGCACTATGCTGACAACTGTCCTGCCAAGGCCTCCAAGTCTTCACCGGCGGGAAACTCCCCGGCCCCGCTGTAGAGGGACCATCAGCGACCGGGCCAGAAATCATTGGGTCCCAAGATGATCTTGCATCTCACTTGCAAGTAATGCTCCAGATCCATCTCCCGGGCAGACACACCCTGTTTGTCCGAGCCATGATCGATTCAGGTGCTTCTGGCAACTTCATCGATCATGAGTATGTTTTACAAAACAGAATTCCTCTGAGAATCAAGGATTGGCCAATCCTGGTGGAAGCGATCGATGGGCGCCCCATAGCATCGGGCCCGATTGTGCATGAAACCCACGAGCTGATCGTCGACCTGGGAGACCACCGCGAGGTGCTGTCCTTCGATGTCACCCAGTCCCCCTTCTTTCCCATCGTCCTGGGGGTTCGCTGGCTGAGCACCCACGACCCCAACATCACCTGGAGCACCCGCTCCATCTTCTTCGACTCCGACTACTGCAGATTCCACTGCCGGATGTATTCTCCTGTTCCTCCGGCTCTGGCACCAGTGCCCCACCCGTCTCTCTATTACGCTGTAGACGGATACAGAGTTTACCAACCAGTGAGATATTACTACGTCCAGAATGTGTACACTCCAGTAGACCACCACGTCTATCCGGATCATCGTCTGGCTGACCCTCAAATCGAGATGATCCCTGGAGCACACAGCATTCCCAGCGGACATGTGTATTCACTGTCCGAACCTGAAATGGCAGCTCTTCGCGACTTCGTGGCCCGGAACGTGAAGGATGGGCTGATCACCCCCACCGTCGCACCAAATGGAGCACAGGTCCTCCAGGTGAAGAGGGGGTGGAAGCTGCAGGTGTCTTACGACTGCCGAGCTCCAAACAATTTCACCATCCAGAATGAGTATCCTCGCCTGTCTATTCCAAATTTAGATGACCAAGCACACCTGGCAACCTATGCAGAATTTGTTCCTGAGGTTCCTGGATACCCATCCTACCCTGCGTATGCCACCTATCCCACCTACCCAGTAGGGTTTGCGTGGTACCCAGTGGGACGAGATGCTCAAGGAAGAGCTCTCTTCGTGCCTGTCATGATCACTTGGAATCCACACTGGTACCGCCAGCCTCCAGTACCCCAGTATCCTCCTCCGCAGCCACCACCCCCACCCCCACCGCCTCCTCCACCTTCCTCCTTCAGTGCCATGTAAGTACCTGTCATGTCCTTCAGGGTCTCCACTCTCCAAGTTTATTCCTGTGCAGCTTTTCAATCAGTGACTGTGTTACATTGAGCTACTGTATCTTCAGGCCACCTGAGGCATGTCCTCTGAAACGCTATTGAAAGTCAAGGCTACCCTGAACTGGCACACGTAAAATAGAAAAGTCCCTCAATACTGGGAGTAACAGAATGCCAACAAATTATCTCCCAGTATTCAACCTTGACTGCCAATTAATGCGTTTACTGTTGCCTGGGATTTAACTAGGGAACACTCTTATCATCTGAATTACAGGCTGCCAAATTTCTTTACAGAAAAGCCATTGCACACAGGAAGCGCTGATTTCTTTATGGAGGGGGAGACAAGAAGGAAGATCTGACTTTTCTTGCAGTTTCGGTCCTCTACATTATTGGAGACCGATGCCTTATAAAGGAAGCCACAGTAAACTGGTGCAGTATGGAAAGGCTTCCGTGATCCTCCTGCTGCACCCCCAGGAACTTCACCATCTTCACACTCCTTGTTCATGGTTCCTTAGTTTTCAAGGAGCAGCAGCTGGACTGGCTCTCCCAGGAGCAGGCAAAAGCCCCACATAATGGAGCACCACAGGCCTGAGAAGGAAGTGCTCTCTCAGCCAGAGTTGCAGGTTAAAGAGCGTGCCTTCACATTCTGGTGCAAATCACATGTACCCAAGAACTCTGGCCTTGACGCAGCATCTTACCATCTCCACGCCAGTATAGGCTCTCATACAGCGTTGACCTGGTGACCAGAGGCTGCTGGGCATGTTAGAGCTCTGTCAGGTATTGTGACCACCTCTCAATCACATTGAGGGCTAAGAGGAGCAAATCAAAAGGACTTCTACATCCTCTACCCAACTCTTCAAAGGTTCTGGTACTTCAGAATGTTCAAGAATGCTGTCAGTTGGCTGAAGGTTCGAGGCACCTCTCAATAGCTACTCTGCCACATGCATCTGAGCATTCCATCTCCTCATCAGATGAAGCATTAGGATTCACAGAGAGGGGAAATCATTTAGCTCCTAAACCTGTATGTGGAAAGAATGAGAGCCTTGGGTGCACTGTCTTGAGAATCCACACTTCTGAATGATCAGAGGCTGACATAGAGCTGCTGGTGGACAAAAGGCCTCAGAAACCAAATCACATGGTTCAGTCCAGTGACACCTCTGGTGTCTCTTGGATGCCTTGTGCTACACTGGGACTGCCTGACTTCTTTCAGCCTGGACCCTTGCTGCTACTTTGATCCATTTGTCTAACCTCTCTGTTTCATTCTTTACTGCTGCCATTAACCCTGCTGCAGGATCGGTGTCACCTTCCTGCCTGGTTGCTGAGACTCCATGTTGCTGCCACGCACAGAGAGGAAGGAGGCAGGCTTGAGGAAGCACGAACTTCAGCACAAGCAACCTCCACTTGCCAGATCAGTCTGGGCAGTAGAGAACCACATGATTTACATTTTTAAGTACCTGTCATGAAGAGGAGTCTTTACGGTGAAGTTTCCTATTCCATCAACAGCACCTTTCTCACCCTCATTAGCATTCCCCTTATTCTTGCATGCTTAAGTATTTTAAAGTTTTAGCTGTAGTGGCATCTTTTACCAGTGTTTTAAAGTGCTGACTATGCTTTCGGAAATTTCCACTGGATTTCAAAGTACTAGCCAATTCTTACTTAAACTAAGGAAAGATGGAGTTAGATCACTTCCTTACTGTGAATTTCTTATGACACTGTGAGTGAGAGACTTGTCAGAACTGGAATGTTTGTGAAATAGTTTATCTCATTGATCCTCAATCTTCAGTTTTAGTATTAAAAATATCAATTGGCCTTTTAAAAATTACATTCGGAGAAGAAACCTAATTGGCTATTCGGTTCTAAACAACTTTTGCCTTCTTCTGTGGAATCAGAAATCTTGTCAGTCACTCACGTATTTTAGAGTAATTACTTTGAAATGGTGCATTTGTGCTTCTCGACTGTCGTGAAGCGTCAGTTCAGTTTACCTCAAATCTCACTCCATCCTCCATCTATTTGAATATAAGTGGTTTTGTGTCAAATTGTAATCATTAGTTGATCTTCGAGCTGCAGAGTGCCCCCGGACGGGCAGGTTCCTGTAGCCCTGCGACATGCACACAGACATTTGCCACCACTGCAAGCAGAGGTCTGGAGGACTTGGCCAACAACTGGACAGTCAGGGAGAGCAAGCTGTGGGTGCTCCACTCACAGCCCTGGCACACTTCGGACTGTTTCCTGAAGCTTGCAGTTGACTTTCGGCAGTGTGTGCTGTGCTTTCTTACTACCTATACTATCCATAGATGTTAGATGTTAGATGTTAGATGTTAGATGTTAGATATTAAGGATAAGTAATCTTAGTTCTATAGTATTGATATTTGGATAAGTTTCCTTTCAGTTGATTTTTTTTTTCAGATTTATATTTAGATAAGTTTCCTTTCAACTGATTTGTTTTTGTTCATCCAATTTGTTATTTGGCTCTTAAGAATTTCTTTCGGCATTTTCAACAAAAATGCCTTTTTCTCATAAAAAAGGAAAAGGATGTTAGAAAGGGAGCAAAACCAAATGGAAAGGAGATAGATAAGAATTAAATCAAGTAAGAAAAAGATCTTAGTTGCTAGTTGAGCCTTAAGAGAAGTAGCTGAGGATGTTGGAACAGGAAGTTTACACACGTTTTTGAAGGGCCCATTTAGTTTGAGCCAGGAGGTATCTGTCTTGGTTATCAGTTTGATTAAATCTGGTGGAGAAATACAGCGAGTTTGCATAGTGTAGGAGGGGCACATCTATATGGTGCAGTCTAGGGTTCTGTTCAAGTTCACAGGTGCCCCTTGGACTCCTAAGTTGGCCCAGCTGTCATCCACCACAGATACTGTACATCAGATTAGCTCCAAGACTGGCAACAGAGAACAGCCTTCTGGAAAGATCTGCACGACTGACCGTGGAAGACCACCTGAGGAAAGAAGAGCCCAGTGGGAACCACGTTACTTTTGATGGGATTGAAAGTTCTTTGTTGTTTCAGATTGCGGAACACTGTTGTATTTGGTCTGTGGAACATTGCATCGTTTTTAATTCCTTTTATGTTATCACTTTAAGTAGTTGGGGATATATAGTCAAGCATAAGTGTTTTAGGGTGGGAGGGACTATTATATAATCATGGGTGGGGTTATATAGGTAGGATAATATTATGTATTAGATAGCTCTTTAAGTAGACTTATGTACTTCCTTGTAATCCTTTACCCTTGAATTGTTACCCTTAAGATTTCAAATTCAGAAAGAACTGAAGGGATTTCAACCTAGTGAGAGAAGATTGGATCTAGATAAAACCCTGTAGAAAGTTCAGAGGTAATTAGATGAATAATTGAGTAAAGGCCCTAGGTATTAATTCCAGGGATCAAATGGTGAGCCAAACTTTGAAAGTTTCAGGACAGGTAGTACCCTTTGAGAGATTGTTGCTAGAATAAGTTTGATTACAGCGGATAGTAAATATTCCTGGAAGTTAGGGCAGTGTTGATGCCCCTGTCAGCAAGCTTCCCACCCCCCTTCCCTAACCGTGCCCTTCATATCCCCATCCCAACCCCTTCTTCAAACTGTATCGTTGTATTCTCTTTATTCTATATAGCTCTTCATTTACTAATACTGTATCAATGTTATAATAGTTCAATAAAGCTTTAGTGGTTAGTGCAAATTGGTCCTGATCATTTTAGCGTCCACCAGCATCGAGGGCATGAGGTGGGGGTTGAGGGAGGGTGGAGTTGGGGGGTGGGAAGGCAGGATGATCATGGGGTAGGAATAAGGGGTGGGGGAAATGGGAGGAGATGAGGAAAGTTGGGGGGTGCACAAGAACACATCAGTCACATGAGAACACCTGAAGGTATCAATCTGCCTATGTCAGCTGCAGCACATGAACATAGTGTTACAGCAGCTGATTAATAATGACTTCAAAGACAACAGATGGAGCATAGAAGGTGGGACAGTGGGGAAGTGGGGGTGTGGGAGGGAGGTATGAAGAGGGAAGTGGGGAGAGCATGTTAGAAAGGGGAGACAGGGTGGGGCAAGTTTGGGAGGGGGTAATGTGCAAGAAGACTTCTGGACTGGGGATATAGCTTGGTGGCACAGCCTGCCTGGCAAGCACAAGATCCTGAGTTCAATTCCAATTACAAAAAAAAAAAAAAAAAAAAAAAAATCACTATCAACGCAGAATATTAACATTTGAAAAATCAATAATGACATGACATGTTTAATATAACTTGACATAATACTTAAGATTTATTAATAGTGGGAGAGGCACGATAGGGAAAGAGGGAGACTGAGTGGGGCTAAAGATGGGAGGAGAGGATGGCAGGGTGGAATGAGGACCCAGTCAGAACCCAGGATCAGTGTTATACCCAGAAGACCCCCATGAAGTCGGCCAACTTATTCCAGCTGCAAGACATTGACACAATAAAGCACTCACGCTTTAGTGACTCCAGTAATATAAAAAACTTAATGTCAGTATTACTGTGAATTTTTGAGACACAGTATTGGTAGCCCTGTGGAAGGTGGGCCATTGGGCAGGGTGGGGGAAGGTAGGAGGGAGGAAGAGGGGAAGCCGGGAAAGGGGGGCAGGGGTGAGTTAGGAATGGGGTGGTGTAGAAGGAGCACATTAGTCACACACCAATTCAATGAAATACCCCCAATGCCCCAGGAAATCAATTTATCTGACCCGCAAAACTAACACAAAGTCACAATGAACAGTTACTTAAAGTTTACTTTTCATCTTGGTATGACTTGGAATACTTAAGATTTATTAATAGGGGGCAGGGAGGCAGGGATGGGAGAAGGGTGAGGTAGGAAGAGGAGGTGGGCAGGGTGGGAGTGAGATCTCTTCACTAGGACATTGGGTCAGCTAATTACCTGCAAAACATTAACATATATCACCAATTAATAGTGACAGGTGACACAATAAGTTGATTTCTAATATTAATATTACTTAGACTAACGTAAGCCTATCAATTGAAGTGGGGAAGGAGGAGCCATGGGGAGATCAGGGGGCCATTGAAGAAATCAGAATGGTGGGGCTTATGAAGGTGGGGGATAGGAGGAGGATGACAGTGGTCAGAACTGGATGACTAGGACAGGGGAGGCAAACAAAGATCACATCCATTACACAACCCACTATCCACTACATTCCCCGAGTACCCCTGGAAATCAACTAATTCACTTTAGCTGCAAAATTTTAAATGTATAGATAATAAAACCAGGTAATAGTGGCACCACTGGCCTGACAAACTTCTAGTATCAATATGAAAACCCTTGAGATCTATTTGGAGTGGAGGGAGACTGAGAGGGTGGGGTTGGAAGTTGTATGCAGTCACACGACATTAGCAATGGTATACCCAGGATATTCCAGGAAATGAACCGATACAGTCTGGGTGCAAGGCATTAATATATACAATAATACACCAATTAATTGACTCCACAGACATAACTTATATGGAATATATGTATATACATATGGAATAGATGATATGTATGAATAGGAGTGAGAAGAGGGCTGGTCAGAGCAAAAGGAGGGACAGGGAAGAGCTTAGGAAGAAAGGGTGGAGAGGGTAGGTGTGGGTGCTCTGTAAAGAACACATCAATCACAGCCCAGTATCAAGGATGTACACAGAAATTGCTAATTTATTCCAGCTGCAGAACATTAGTAAACATGCTAATAAAAGTGCCTATTAATAGTAACTCTGGTGATGCAATAAAATTTAGTATCAATTTTGCTTGGAATGCTTGAGCTTCATTATTAGGTATAGGGAGAGTGGGTAGAGGAAAGGGGAATAGAGAGAGGGTAGAAAGTGAACAGTACAGTGAGTTTGGGGTGGGAGTGGTATATAAGGAATCTGTCAGTCATAGGACCCTATATCAGTTACATACACAGGAGGTCACAGGAAATCAGCCAGTACAGTCCAGCTGTAGAGCATTAGCCTATGCGGTAATAAAGCCATCACTTCATATTGACATGTCAGTGACACCACGTAACAGACTTTATTAATATCAATATTAGTTAAAATGATTGCAATTTATCGGGGGGGAAGATATGAGAGTAGGAAGAAATGGTGGAGTCAGAGTGAAGGGGGATGGGAGGAGGTGGGCATGGGGGTGACTGTGAAGGGGGGGCAGTGTATAAAGACCACATTAAGCACGTAGTCCAGCATCAGTGATGGACTGATTCCAGGAATTCAACTAATATACTCCAGATCTAGAACATTTACCTGTGAAGTAGAGCCACTGGTTAACAGCAATTGCAAGCATATCATAGCCAACTTAAGTTTATATCACCAATACTTGGAATAGTTGAGATTAATTAATTTTTGTGATAAGGACTAGGGGGAGAAATGGAAGAGAGTAGGAAGAATGAAGGCATAGGGAGAGGAGAGGATGGGCAGGGGAGACGTGAGATTGAGAGAATTTGGGGTGGAATTGACTTAAATCATGCAACCTCGTATCAACTGCTTGAAATAACCCAGGAAGCCATCTACATCATTCCATCTGCAGAACATGAATATCTATAATAAAGCTATCAATTAGTACTGATTTCAGTGACATAATACACTTTATGATCATTTAGAGTAGTTGAGATGTAGCAATTAGAAGGGTGAGGATGGATTAACGGGGAGCATGGGAAAAAGGACTACAGGAGGTGACAGGGAAAAGGGAGGTGGAGGGAGGAGCGATGTATGAGTTGGGATGAGGGTGGATCATGGAGAGCACATGCATCACCTGGCCCAGTGGCCATGGTACACTGAAGTAGCTCCAGGAAATTAACTAGTGTGGTCCAGCTGCAAAAGGATAACATGTAAAATAAAGCTGCCATTTAACGGCAACTCCAGGAATATAACTTCTATTTGTACAACAGTACTACTTGGAACACTTGCAAATTATTAATCAGCATGTAGAAGGAAGGAGAGGGAGGAGGAGTCTGGAAATAGAAGAAGAATGGGGAGGTGGTGGATGGGAAGAGGGTGTGGGAATGGGACTGATTTGGGGGTGCGGGAAGGTTTGTGAGCAGCACTTCACTCACAAAAGCCAGTATCACTTATATACCCAGAATAGCCCCAGCAATCAATCAATACATTCTAGCTGTAAAATACCAACATATAAAATAAAATTACCTGTTCATAGTGTATCAGTGACATAATAAAATGTGCTTTTTAAGAATCAACTTTGCTTGGTAACCTGGAGAGCTCTTGATGGGACTAAAGAGGATGGGATAGCCTGGGAAACGAAGGGCAAGTGGTGATTGGGAGAGTGCGAACGGTGGGATGGACAGAGAGGGTAGGGGGCCATGGAGATGTCTTCAAGGGGGGTAGTGTATAGCGATCTGATCTCAAACACAAAGTATCAGTGACGTACCTTGACTGCCTCAGAAACCATCTAGTTCATTACACCTGCCGAACTGTAACATTGAAGTAAGCCAGTAGGGAGAACTCCAGGCCAGTATGTACTCTGGTGCCATACTCTACAGCTTTTAATATTAATTTTCCTTGGAATGCTCAAGGTTTATTAATACAACTAAGAGGAGTGGGAAAGCAGAATGAGGGAGAGGATGGGGCTTGGGAGGGGCAAAGCAATGGTACAGAGAATGGATTAAGCACGCAGTCCAGTAGCCATGATCTATCTAGAACACTCCATAGAGCCAACTGTTCCCATTGTAAAACTTTCACATATAAAGTACTCACCAACTGAGAGTTATCCCAGTGACATAATGAGCTTGCTTTATTTATTTATTTATTTATTTATTTATTTATTTATTTATTTTGGCAGAACAAGGATTGAACTCAGGCCCTTGTGCTTGCTAGGGAAGCGCTTATTCTACTGAGCCATCTCCCCAGTTCTTTTATTTTATTTTATTATTTTTTTAATTTTTTTTAAGGGGAGGATCTACAGGGTGTTCAGGATCTTACTGCTAGATGAGACTCGTAGTGATCCACCTATTTACAGCCTCCCAAGAGCTGGGATTACAGGAACGTGCCACCACGCCCAATCTCAGTTGCCCTCTCAGCGCACCCCAGGGGCAGGGGCGGGCACGGCAGGTCTGGCGATTGAACCCCCAGCTCCTGTTCCTGCTTGCAGGCACTTTAATCCACTGAGCTATTTGGCTGGCCCATGAACTTTATTTTTAATACCAATTTTACTTGGAATGTAGAGAGTTACTATAGAAAAATGCAGAACCCTAGTGAGAACAAAAACGATGGTATACCAGATGCATCAGACATGTGGGAAGCTATATCAGATTTATATTTATATCAATTAACACTAAAATAAATTAGCAAGGTGGTTATGTGACAGTGGAGTCATGAGACATTTATTCAATAAGATTTTAATTACAATGACATCAGTGTTACAGCCACGAGTAGCGCACTGAAAATCTAATAAGAGCTCAACTTCAAAAACTTACTAAGTGCATGACATGGCCATACGAGCATGATTTTTCTCAGGAAGACAGTCATTAAAAGGAAAAACATGGGACTGGTGAGATAGCTCAGCAGACTGAGTGCTTGGTTAGGCTAATGCGGGGACTGGGGTTTGATCCCTGGCACCACATGCCACGCCGGCCCCAGCCCCAGGCTCGCTGAGCCAGCCATTGAGAGTGGGCGTGGTGGCACACACCTGTAATCCCCGTGCTGGGGAGGCTGAAAACAGGA